AAATCGTTCCAGCTTTGGCCATCGGGAGCTCTTTCTGCTGAGTTCCTGTGTCCTTTGACACATTACTCCAGGCTGATCATCTCATATATTTCCTGACCTGGTCTTCGAATAAGCCACTTCTCTAAGAAGCCCTGGCTCCTTTTATTGGAGAATAAATAGAAGAACCCAGATCTGGGCACTGAGTGGGTTATTCTGTTTTGCCGGCTGCTTCCTAATCAGATAATATTGACAGCAAGCTCTGCAGGGGCAAAAAAAAAAAAAAAAAAAGCCAACCCCGCACCTGCTCCAAGGAGAACAAATCCTGTTCATTGTCAGTAGTTTATTAGGTTTGTGTTCTGGTTTGGAAAATTCAATGTCATTAGGCTCTGCAAATATTTGAGGAACACGGCATGTCATGGTCAACTGGGAGGGCTTGTTCCGAGGGAAGCCTCCTCCGGGCAACTCATTAGAATGACACTTTTCCTGAAATGTTCTTTGTTAGGTTTACTTCTGAAGCTTCTTGTTTTCTGAAACAGGCTGGTCAGATGTGATCTGGTTATTATTCTTAGGGGAAGTTGACCTGCACATAAGTATTGATTGCAGCTTTTAACCAACACCACGCCTACTTCTAAGTTGCACGTTTTTCTCTCTGGGCAGTGCAGGAAATAGTCACTTTCTTAGGAGCTTGCTGGAAGGCAGCGAGCGTTTTCATCCTGGAAGCACGGCAAAGGGGCCATATTTAGAAATTTGGGGGGAGAAAAGAAAGGAAGCGTCGAGGTAGGCCATGTTCCTTCTCTTGGAACAGTTACCTGGGACTGCTGAAGCCCCAGGCCAGACTGATGGCTTTCGGCTACCTTGTTCTAGAAGACCCAGTGTAGGCTCTCGGTGTGTGTGACTGAAAACTCTGAAGAGGCACCTCGGTGGCATGTGGCCTTGATAGGGACCTTTAAGGTATGCTTAGCACAGATAGAGACCAGAGGGAGACCAGAGTCACTCCATGGGTCCAAGTCAAATACTGTGGAATTTTGGAAATGGAATATCAAGCCACTCTCCTGGAGGATCTGTTAGAGACCCACCAAACCTCAGCGTTTGGTTTGCAAGGGACCAGAATGGTGGCCACCCGTCCAGGTTGAGATTCGTGTAAACGTCCCGTGTGACGTGGGCAGCTCGTTGTTGCTGTGCCCTCGGATTGCACTCCCTCCTTCAAAGGTTTACTCATAATTTTGTCCAAGGCAGTAAAAAGTTTCCAGATGAACATTGTCCATGTGGAGAAGCAAGAGGGAGGGATTATCTGGCTTGCCGACAGATGCTTTCTTGTTCCATCCTCTCTGATGTGTGGTTACACCCTCCTTTTTCCTTGGTTTGTTGAAACTTAGAGGCTACTTTATGGTGATTTACAAAACGCAGAGAGATTGCAACGTGCAGCATTATCTCACATTCAGATCATCGCTGGTTGTAATAGAAATACAGCATACCAGTGATTCTCCTGGAAGCCTACGTTTTTAGGAGAATATGCCCTAGGTATCGCCCTCCAGCCGGGAAAACTTAGAGTAGCTTACCCTCCACATCTCCTTAGGCACAAAGCAAGTCCAGACTTGGGGCGATGCTCACTTATCTTAATCTTTACAGCTTTACTGCAGTGGAAAATATTTGGAAGGAGAGATGATCCATCTCTTCATCAGGGAAATGGATTGTGTCCCAGTCCCATGCTCAGTGTCATTTTGAAGTTTTAATTGCATGAAATTGCCTCCCTCCCCCACCCCACCGCCTCCCCCGAGCTGTAGGCGTGAACCTCACCCTTTCAGGCTGACAGCTTTGCAGTGGAAAAAGATGACAAGGCCACTTGTCCAGGCCACTAGGTAATAAAGTCGCTGAGCTCTGGGTTGCTAGATCTAAGGAGGTACTTTTCCCTTCATGTCAAAAATTGGGTGTGAGTACTGGCATTAGGCAGGAGGGTTAAATGATTGTACATCTGCCACTTTTGAAATGCAATGGAATATTCTTTCCAGATGCTGAAGAATGCATGATAGAATAAAAGCTCCATTACATTTATAATAGATCTTCCAGTTAGCACAACATAGTTAATGGGATCAGCCTAATTCCATGAAACTTAATTTACCCAAAGCCTAAAGGATCATGTATTCTGAAATTTCAGCGTTCCGTTTTTACATGATTGTGATTCATTTTAGAATGTATTCACTTTCATTTTAAAGAAGAATCACTTGCACGTGAAGCAAGAAAATATTTGGTGGAATTGGCAGGTGTTTAGCATTCTCTTCCAAAGTTGTATTATTACATGTTTTCATTCAGGGTTTGTTAATCAATTATACACACACAGACGTTAAAAAGTCCGTTCCCTAAGGATTGTTACCAACAGCCCTTCCCCCGGCCTGCGCACTCCCCACTTTTTGTATTCCCAGACACCCCTCCAGCTCCGCAGCTCTTTCGATGGATTCCGACTGTGGCAAACTCTTGACAGCTAGCTCTGATTCCCTTCTTTTCTTGAAAAAATTGTAGCTTTTCCTGGACCATCATCATTGTCCTATTCATAATTTTTCTCAGCTTTCTATTTGCCACTAGTTTATTCCCACATGTTCCCTTCATTGCATGCACCCCACATATGAGGTCTATTCCAACCAGCTCCAGTGCAAATCTGCTGACCTGTGGGCCTGTTCTCGGCCCTTCTGGGATCTTCCCTGACCCCATCCCAGGGATTCCCCAGGCCTTTTTCTTGAGATCAATCCTGTAATTTTTCTTCATCCAGGACTCCTCCCTTGCTCTGGCAGAGGATACCCCCAGTGGCTTCTTGAGAAAGTGTTGTGTAGGAAGGAAATTCTTTGAGGCCTTGAACATCTGAAGGTGTCTTTCTTCCAGCACACTTGATGGACAATTTGGTTCTGAGTTCTAGGATAGAAACCATTTTCCCTCCTCACTTACCGCCCGTGTCTTCTGACTCTCCGTGTGAGCTTTCTAGCTATCCACTGCTGGAAGCTCCTAGAATCTTGTCTCTGCCTCCAGCATTGTGTGTGCTGTGCTTGGCGGGTCTTCCTTCATCCACAGTGCTGTGTCCACCTGACAGACCCCACGATGGTCTTAGAAGTCGTATCTTTCAGCTCTCAGATTTTCACTGTTCTCTCTTTCTGGAACTCATATTACTTGAATTTGTGCCTCCTAGATTGGTCCTTTATTTATATTTTTTTAACCCATTCTCCTGTACTTCCCATGTCTTTGTCCTGCTCCATCTTTGTTATAGATTTCTTCAACTTTATCTTACTGTCGTTTTGTGAATTTCTTATTTCTGACTTAATCTTTTTATTTTTTTTTATTTATTTTATTCTTATGTTAATCCCCATACATTACATCATTAGTTCTAGATGAAGTGTTCCATGATTCATTGTTTGTGCATAACACCCAGTGCTCCATGCAGAATGTGCCCTCCTCAATACCCACCACCAGGCTAACCCATTCTCCCACCCCCCTCCCCTCTAGAACCCTGTTTGTTTTTCAGAGTCCATCGTCTCTCATGGTTCGTCCACCCCTCCGATTTCCCCCGCTTCATTCTTCCCCTCTTGCTACCTTCTTCTTCTTCTTTTTTTTTTTTTCTTAACATATATTGCATTATTTGTTTCAGAGGTTGACTTAATCTTTTTAATTTTCGGCAGTACCTTTCTTGTTCTTTAACCACCTTTTTGAAGTAACATTTCCATTTGGGCCTTGTTTCATAGATGCGGGATCTTCTATCACTCTGAGAATATCAGTGGGGAAAGTTTCCTCTCTCCCTCGCTCCCTGTGTGCCCGCACACACACGCCCAAACACACACACACACACACACACCTGTCCATCTCTCTGTCTCTCTGCTTTGTCTCTGTTTCCTCCAATTTTTTTTTCGCTCTGTCTGAGCCTCTTCAACTTAGAGGCCTTCCTCAAAGTCTGGTGATCCCTGCTTGTCTCCTCACCGTGGGGGGGCATCAGAAGCCGACTGGCAGCCCTGCCATGTGGGGGCGGCCGATGCCCTGTGTGGGCCTCGTGGTGGCCGGTCAGGCACGGGAGGGGGTTCTGCCTCACCGGGAGCCTCCAGCCTCCAGAACCCTGGGTCTCCTCCCCCCAAAGGATGCAGCTGGTTTCCTGTGTTCCGGGAGCTGAACAGAGGAAGAAGACAGGAGCTTCGACGTCATCCTTCCCTTAATCCCCCGGATTCCGGGCAGCAACTGTCCTCCACTGCAGAGATGGAATTCCAGGGTCCTGCCAAGGTCAGGGGCCACAGTCACCAGCTGTGCAGGGACGACTGGACAAGCTGCTTACTAACTAGACTTTCCACCGGCCTCCTGCTGGCCCTGCCCTCACTTCCAGAAGGGCCTGTTGCCACATTTCCTGATGGGGTGAGGGGGGAAGGGCTGGAAGCAGCTCGCTCCCCTCCCCCACCCCGTCAGTTTAAAATTCTGTTTTGGCGGGGGTGTCTGTTAAATCCTTGTGCTCCTTGCCCACCTGCTCTCCAAAAGTGCACATTCCGTGGCTGTTGTCTCTTATTCTCTTAACAAGACCTTGAAAAGCTCCCGAACCCATCGTGAATTTAAGTCTCACTGTTTCCTTTCTCGTCAGGTGCGCTGATTCAGTGTGGCTCTGCGCGTGCAGATGTAGTCCAGGTGCTTTCGGGTCACTTCTCACTCTTGGGGGAAAGCTGTAAAAATCCCATGACTGAGCACGTTCACCCTGACCTCACTGAGCTGCTTAGCAACCTAGTTACGCCTTCCATGAGAGCAACTGGTCTCCCTCAGTAACCCCGCTGCGGGGGTCCCTCTGGGGGTCCCTCTGGGGCACCTGTCCAAATGGGCGGGGCCTGTGTCCAAAGGTGAGAACAAGGCAGGACGGCGGCAGTTTGAGGACTGATGCACCAGCCCCCTGATCGGGCAGGTTCGCCCTCCTTCCTAGCTCCGCGGGGTCACGAAACACCTGCCTTGATGTCGTTTCACTCATGTACGCTCCTGCTAACGACCTTGCTGACTGTCCCTTCTGCCCCCAGCTCTGTTTCGTGATGTTCTGGACGCCCAACGTTTCCGAGAAAATTCTGATAGACATCATTGGAGTGGACTTCGCCTTTGCAGAACTCTGCGTTGTTCCCCTGCGCATCTTCTCCTTCTTCCCGGTTCCAGGTAAAGACAGAGAATGAAAGGAAAATTCCTGTCTACCCTCATGCCCGATGCGGTCTTCTTTCTTTGGAAATGTTTGCGATGATGTCCCAAACAGGAACAGTAAAATGTCACAGTGGATTGGAAAGGTGCCAGCACATTACCTAGTGGGTTGCAAGTTCAAGAAACAAATCGGACAGCCATAATTTGTTTCCTCAAGGACAGAGGTCGCAGACACAGTAAAAAGAAAGCACACCCAAAGGGACAGCGTGAGGAGTTTTGGGGGGCCCTGGAACTGTCCCGTGCCCTGGTCGTGGTGATGGCTACACAGATCTGTGCGTGTGTTAAAATTCTTAGAACTATATCCTCCGAAGTCAGTTTTATAATACGTTATTTAAAAAGTAACATAAGCAAAAAGGCAGATAGATTGCTAAAACCTGCAGATGGACAAAGACAGAAAAATACTGCTGGAGTTAAGAATCTGGGGGCAGAGCTGAGGCCAGACGGCGTATGGCCAGAGAGAAAAATGTCCATAGCCAAAAATAAGCCAGGCTGAAAATTCCCAAACCAATACCGTAGGAGGAGGTTTACTATAAGGGAGTGAGGCGGTTCTTCATTAAATGAGAAGAGCAGGCCGCAGAATGGCTGGTTAGCATGCTACTTTTCTGTAACAGGTGTATCACACATGCTTGTTCATCTGTGTGTCAAGTTCATGGTGAGTGCTTGGGTGTCCACTCACTGTTCCTGGAAGTAACTCACCAAACTGGCACCAGCCGTTGCCTCTGGAACAGGACCAGGGCCTGGGGGCGTCAGTTGCCCCTTTTCAGTTCCATACCAAGCACATGCCATTACTTATTCAAAAACGTATTGCCCAGGGGCGCCTGGCTGGCTCAGACGGAAGAGCTTGCCACTCTCGATCTCAGGGTTGTGAGTTCGAGTCCCGCATTGGGTATAGAGATGACTTAAAAATAAAATCCTAAGAAGAAAATTAATGCCCAAATAAGCCACTAAAGCATTCAGCTGAGAAGGCAGAATGGACAAAGCCACGGTTGAGAAATGGGCCGCGGAGCTGGAGGAGGCCAGGGCCGGTGGGGCCATCCGGGCACCGGATCGTAGGCCACCCCTGCTCTTGGACGCCGAGCATTTCTGGAGGCCGGGCCTCTCAGGTGTCACCTTCCCGGCTGTGGAAGAAGTGGAGGAGTGGAAGATCGCGGCCATGGGGTGGTGTCTGGTCTTTCTCAAGGGGACACTGGGGGAGCCACGCTGTGGAAGATGACCCCACCTAGAGCAAGGCTGCCCCCTGCTGGAGACTAAGGACCGGCCGCTCCTTCCCCAGATTAAACTGGCGGAGGAGCTGGGGGTCCCAGACAAATCCTGCTGGGACTGGACTGGTTTTTAATCTCTCGACTCACTTCTGTGTCGGTCACACTAAGGCTTCGGGCCAGCCATCAGGCCCCATCTGTCTTTGCAACCTGCAGGGTTCCACCGGCCTTCCAGTGGGCACCCCTACCCTCTGCCTCAGCCAAACCCAAGTGTGTGTGTGCGCCTCATAATACAAGGCCTCCACCCTGGGCAGGCAGGGCCTCCCAATGTGCCCTGGACATGAGTTTTTACCCCAGGAGTCTGCCTGGCGCTGTCCACCCTGGGAGGACTAGGCCATAGCTTCCAACAGCCCCTTGCAGTTGCAGATCAAATGTAAACATCCAGGCCCTTCCTCCTGACTGGGGTGTCCACGGCCCCCGACGCAGTCCGCGCCTAGAGCCCTCGTTTGTGCCCAGGCCGAGCGCCCTGCCCTGCCCCGCGCTGCACCAGGGTGGATGCGGAGCCAGCCCCGGAATGCACTGCGAGGTCCTTGGGAATAGTGACCGGCCGAGACGAGGGGGGCTGTTAGGGAAGGAGAGGAGGCTGCCAGCAGTCCGGGATGGCTGGGAAGGAACGAGGGAAGCCCCATCCTTCCCTCTCCCCGCTCTGGTCTCCACGATCCTCCCCCCCACCCTCCCCCACCCAGGAAGACGGGCCTTCTGATCCGGCTTCCCTCCTCTTGCACAAACTGGATCGCTGGCAAGGTGTGGCTTTTCTGTGTCCTCTCTTCTAGAGAGCAGAGATCAGAGCTTGAGGCGGGGCTGGCGGGCAGGGGGGCCGTGGGCAGGCCAGGCCAGCGGAAGACAGACGGCAGTCACAGCGGGGAAAGGCAGCTGCCTGCAGCCCTCTGTCTGGGCGCTAAGGGCTGCAGTGAGGAGGCAGCCTGGGTAGGGACGGGGCTATGGCAGGCCCAGAAGCAGGCTCAGGAGCCCCGGCAGGAAGATGTGGCGGCCAGCCCGGGGCCGCAGCAGCAAGGCCTGGGTCCTCACCCAGCCACCCCACGACCTCGGGTGTGCTGGCAAGGCATGGGGCAGAGGCTGAGGACTGGGAGAAGCAGGGTGTCACTGACCAGTCCTTGCTGTCCCCTCAGTCACTGTGAGGGCCCATCTCACCGGGTGGCTGATGACGCTGAAGAAGACCTTTGTCCTGGCCCCCAGCTCCGTGCTGCGGATCATCGTCCTCATCACCAGCCTCGTGGTCCTGCCCTACCTGGGGTATGCTGTCAGGGGGCGGGGAGGGGAGGGCTTGGGGGCTGTGGGTCCTTCTGCCACTTAAGAACATCTGCATGTTCGTGTGGCATCCCCAAGCATATCTAGGATTAGAAATGCAGAGTGATACCTTCTTTCTCTGTCCAGGCAGTAGGTGGAAGGCGGCTCAGCAACATTCTAGAAGAGTACTTTTGGGGTCAGGCCCATACACGCTATTCACTGAGCACCTGCTACGGGCGGCAGGCTCGGGAAGGGGGAAAGCACAGGGAGGAAGGGCGTCGTGACCCCCACCCTCAGAGCTCCCATCTCTATACAGAGACGAGCGCAGGAAGGGCTGTGGGCTCACGAGTGAGGGGGCCGTGGCCCACGGCCCCGCCAGCAGCGTGGAGCCAAGATCTGGAAGGGGAGTGGGGGACAGCTCATCTCGGAGCTCCAGGTCCCCTCCCCACACAGGGGGGCCGCGTATCAGGTGCAGCCCTTCTAGCAGAGCTTGGGGTGGGGGGGGGCAATTGGTTCCTCTCTTGTCTGCACCTTTCCTGGGCTGGGTTTCCACCCTACCTGTGCCTCAGCACGGCTTTAACAGACAAATGGCCTTTGTGTTCTCATCCCAGGGTACACGGAGCCACCCTGGGCGTGGGCTCCCTCCTGGCGGGGTTTGTGGGAGAGTCCACCATGGTCGCCATAGCCGCGTGCTACGTCTATCGGAAACAGGTGAGCCTGGCTGCAGACCCATGCACCTGCCCAGGCTGTGAAGCCTCCCCAGGTGCAGGGATCCTGAGCAGCTCCCTGTGGACCCACAGCGAGAGGTGGCCGGGGCGGTGGCACCTCCCGTTCATGCTCCACCTCAGCTGGATCCACACTGCTCACCAGAACTCCGGGGCCCCTCCTGTGTGTGAGTGACCCTCGTGGCCAGAGTTGCTCAGTCCTAGGTCAGGTTCGCTTACAAGGGGACACCTTAGTATGTTGTTATGTAGATTACTCCTTATACCCATTATGTGGATTATTCCTGACACCCGCCTTGTCTCAAAGGGCAGCCAGATTGCTCAGGAGAGACGACTGAAAGGATACAATACTGCATCCTAGTGTTGCCTTGGGAGAATACAAATTGTAGAAACTAAATAATGCTCTGACTATGCAAGAAAATGCTGAAACCGATCCGTCCTTTAAGTCGTTATAAAGTCAGACTTTATCGCTGAGGAAGGACCAGTCTAAAAAGTGTTGGGTGATTAGGATGCCCTCTCCCCACTCTGCCTCTGCAAAGCCCTTCCTCTCTTCAACCTCAGATCCCATGCCCCTCCAGGAAGTCTTCTCAACTGCCCACCGTGCGCGCGCACACACACACACACACACACACACACTGTGTACTCACCGTTAGGACATAATTCATTTATCCTGCAGGGTTACCTAATTGTTTGGGGGTATAGTCCTAAGATTATGACTGCTTAGGGAGCAGGAGGGACAGGATTAGCCAGGGAGTGGAGGGCGGTAGAGAAGGGAAGCGGCCCAAGGATGGATCGCCGGGGCTCCCCAGTGTGATTCCCCCGCCACGGCAGCTGGGTGGCGAGGGCTGAAATTGGCAGAGGCTTGAGCCCAACCAAGGTCCGGGTTTTACCTACGAATGAGATTAAAGAAAAGAGGGGCAGGGCACAGAAGCGATGATAACTACTGAGCATTTCATTTAAGCTGATGCGCGGGGAGAGGAGGCAGGAAGGCCCATGGGTTGTGGGGCAGGGGCCTGGAAGGAGAGGCAGACCGTGGCGGGAGGTGGAGGACCGTGACCTTGAAGCTGGCCTGTCAGTGATGCCAAGGGTGTTGGTAATGAGGGTCTCCAGTGAGCCGAGAATGGCGGGGCTGGGGGCAGCACTGGAGAAGCTGACCCCCAAGGAGAAGAGCTCGGGGCCCGGAGAGGCATTTACCGCAAGGTGGCCAACAAGGCAGTGCGGTCGCCGGAAATCGGGACAGGCGACCAGCAGGGTGGGAGAGAGACGCAGACCTGGGGTGGCCTGGAGGGGAGAACAGTCTGCATGTGGGGGGGCGGGGGGCCCCAGGGCAGGGGGACGGGGCAGCCAGGATCCCCCAAAGCGCCTAGCACAGTGCCGGCCCCCCGAGTAAGTAACCGGACTGACAGGAATATACGGAGCCCAGATGCAGCCGCGGGGAGGTCACCCGAACCAGAAACGGGACCCAGGTCTGCAGCGAGGAGCCCCCTGAGACCCTGGCGGCCTCTCCCTGCTCGTGGCTCTGCGGTGACGCGTCCCCGTCACAGCCCCACACTCATGAGTCTTTTTGGGTCTAGAAAAAGAAGATGGAGACCGAGACGGCGGCCGAGGGGGAGGACTCGGCCATGACGGACCTTCCGCCGGCGGAGGAGGGGACAGACGTGGTGGAAATGCGAGAGGAGAATGACTAAGGCGCCGGACGTGGGGACAGCAGGGCGGCCAGGTGGCAGCGCAGCGACATCTCCTCTCCCTCGTGCTTTCTTTCTTCTGCTCTGGGGTTTGGGTTTGGGTTTGGGTTTGGGTCACGGAAGAGGCCTTGCTAGAGGTTTCGTGTAGACTCTGCGGCATACTGGGTATGCTCCCTCGGCTGTGGGGACCCGAACAGTGGTCCCTGCCATCGCTTTGGACACACAAACAGAACAATGAGTTCACGCCCCCACTTCCCCCGAAATCCCAAAGACGCAGCTGCCTCTAGAACAGCCCGTCCCCTCCTCCTCCCCCCCTCACCCCCGGACAATCTCCACTCAGAACCAAAGGACTGCGGCTGGGCCATCAGCGCCCTCGGCCGCCCCCGCCCAGCAGGCCCGACTGGACCCTGTCCCTCCGCATCGCTCTTCCGAATCCACAGGTTACAGCTGGGCTCCCTGTGGCTGGCTTCCCAGGAACACGGCTGTGCAGAGAGAGACGCAGCCCCGGGGGCCTTCCACCCTGCACAGCCTGCGGCCGCCAACGCCCAGCCACCCCCCACCCCGCCGTGCAGAGCGTCCGCGACAGATGGCAGCCTGGCCTGGCCGCTCACACTGACCAGTGCCTTTGTGAACGCACTGCACGGCCGGGCGGACGGATGGACGCGCGGGCCTGACCTCCCGGGGGAAGGTTCGAGACGCCGGGGGAGTGGCGGACTGAACGATAGCATTTCACCTGCATTTTCCTAGGTTGGAGCGAGCTCCCACTTTTCAGGCCCCGCCGTGTACATACATGAGCTAAGTTTTTTAAGTTGTCACAAAAGCGCATCTCCAAACGTCAGCATCCTCAGGCATGACTTCCCCGAAGGCTTGTTTGTCACTCACCGTTCCTGAAGATGGCGCTAGAGCAAGTGAAACGGAGTTTTCTCTTAGTTTTTTTTAAAGTGAAAGGAAGCTTTAAGTCATAATCTAGCATTCTAATGCCAGGTTGCTGTATCGTAACTTTTGAAGTAGATTCGTTACCTGGTTCCGCTACTCTTACTCATAACCATGCGGGGCAGGTAATTCACACCACATGAGAAAGCAAGACATTTTCTAAGCGATAGCAAAGTCACTATGTGATATTCCCTGAAATGACACATTTGAAATCCATTTAGTGCAGTATATTTTTCTAAGTTTTGGAAAGCGGGTTTTTTCTTTAAAAAAATTATGGACACAGTTCACTAAATTCTTGATTTAGTCAAAATTCCTAGACGGAAAGAACCTAAACACAAAAATATTTTAAAGATATAAATATATACTGTATATGTTATGTAATTTATTTTAGGCTATAATACATTTCCTATTTTCGCATTTTCAATAAAATGTCTCTAATACAATACGGTGATTACTCCTGTGCTCTACAGACCTGCAGTTGAAACGTATTGTATCGATGAACATTGTATCTTATTTACAGCAGTTCTACAGAGTCTGTCATTTGTATATAAATGTAAGGATCAATAAATGAGGAAAGAACTATTTTTCATTATGGGTAACGGGGGTATAAATGGGGTCAGCTAGCATGGACAACAGTGAGAATGGAAATACACACTGGAAGGGGCGAAAAAGGCAAGCCTTTTGTGTTTATTATTTTCAGTGCTGTGTAATCGTATTGTTCCTCGTTAAAAAAAAAAAAAAAAGAATGTAAGGGCATAAAGTCAGCCACGAACATCACAGGGCTGCATTCATATTTCTGGACATCAAGTGACCTTGGGTGTGTCCACCGTGGGGACAAATTTTCATGGGCTTCCTCTGAGAGACTTTTCCTCCGTATAGATGAGTGCTAGAAATTAAGATGCGTAGCTCTCGGGTGGTTTCAGGGGCAGATCGGAGAAGATGGGGAAAAAAAAACGTCTAATTGTATCAGCTTTTTAAAAGTACATGACTAGAAAATTAAACAGCAGTATTTTTTAATGTGTGACTAGCTCATGCTTGTGCGGCTGGAACTTAAAGATCAAATTGAAAAAGCCACCTCTTCCGAAGTCGGGGAAAGATCAGCTAGAGACCCTTCATTACACCACTAGAATGTGTCATTAGAACCTCAGAGACCCCGTCGACGATGAACATCACGGGCCATAAATACGTGGCGCCCGTCTCAGAGAACACGGGAAGACCACGATGACAGAGGCTGTGCAGGACGTGTCCAAAACCTTCTGCCTCGAAGCACTCCGTACCTCACACGGTTCCTTCACATGGGCGGCTTAACTTCATTCATGGCCTACCACACACACCTCAGCTTCTAGAGCAAGACCTGGTATTGGCAGCCTTAGACAGGAAAGGAACACTGCTCCTTCCCACTTTTCAGAGTAAGGAGGGCCACGCCTTTGAGTTTGCCGACCAAAAAAAAAGATTTCCCCAACACAGGTTTTTTTTTTATTGCCAGTCGCTCAGCTGACAGATATAATTAGAAGGGCGTGGTACCTGGGAGAGTCACATGTCAAGGACCATGAAAAGACCAGGCATGACCTTCTCCATGTTGTGTGATACATGTAGACAAATATAATCTATAATGACAGGGGCATAAAGCCGTTTTAAAATGCTGAGAAGTGAGTTGGGGAAGCTCAAAGCAGTCTTTCTGCACTGACGGTATTCCCAGGTCAGAGGCTTCTTCGCTTTTTTGAGGGTCCTATGCCAGGTCCTTCTAAAACATAAAGGTGTCGTGTGCTCTGTTCCACTCAGAGCTTGGTGGCACAGAGCATCAGATGCCCAAGAAGTGAGCGGAAAGAACCAGGCGAGGCTTGCTCCAGGAAAGTCATGATAGGGCTGGACCTGTCGGCCATGAGGCTCAGGGGCATGTTGAGAGGTTTGCACGGTGGCCAGAACCCCTCACCTGATTGGGATTCTTCCATCTGGGCACGGGAGTGGAAGCCAGGCATGGTCCCTTGCTGCCTGTGTTGGGTCTGTCTTCTTCCAAAGGTCTTGTTCTGTGTCTGTTTCATGGGTCAGCCTGAGCAGGTGGCTTGGCTTTGGAAATGTCCATGGATGGTTGATACCTTCAGAAAGAATAGCTTTTAGTGTTGTTTAGGATATATCGGGTGGGCCCAAGGAAAGCTTTGGTATGGTATCAAATGCACTTTTTCATTCTTTGAGTCCTACCAATAAATAACTTTGGGAGGTGCAGAGGGCAGGGGACCACGAGGAGGGAGGCCCAGGGAGGGGCTCCACCATAGCCCAGCTCCATCAGACTGAAAGTTCTCCAAACCCCAGGGCACGTCCCAGCCAGGGTCCAGCTCAGTGGTCCTCACAGGAAGCCTTTTCTGGATCTCTCTCAGGGTTGAGATAGTCATTATATTTCCCAAGTATGACAAAAGTTCTTCAGTGATAGTTTAGAGTAAGAAGTGAAAAAAACTCAACAGCTCCCTACCCTAATTGTTCCCCATTTGGGGTTTTATGGGAAGGAAGGGGGGGGAGGAAGAGAGTAATTTTTTTTTTTTTGTACTCTTAGTTTCTAGAAACAAAACAATTTAAAGACTCAGTAATTCTCTGACCAGAGGGTTTTTCCTTAATTCAGACTAAAGTGGGAGAGCCCAAGAGGCTGTGTTGCAAGAAAAAAAGTATTTATAATCTTATAATTCAATGACATGACCTTGAGAAATATGTTCTTGTATTTAAAAATCTCTCTACTTCCCTGAATCTCTAGGCAGACCAGTGCCCAGGACAGCATGCACTGTTGTGTTCCAACCAGTCCTGGCTCCTGGCCTCTTCTTTTTCAGGTGAGCTGACCCCTAAACATAGGATGAGGTTTTCAAAGTGAGGCACAGCCCAGTAAAAGGGGCCTTCTGTTATAAGCCCCGCCCCTTTTGTCACTGGGCGGGGCTTCAGAGGACAGGGCCCTTTGTGGCATTGAGACCTCTGTGGTCCACATGCAGCCAATTCCCTGAAACCCATGGCTCCGCGCCCCCCGTCTTCCGTAGACAGCCACCCTCCCCCAGCTCCTTCATAAAAAGCATGTGAACCATAGAAAAGCAGGTTTTTGAGCAACCTGTTTGGTAAACATTGGAGAGGCTCCTCCGTGTGGTGATTTTGAGTCTATTTCTGTCGTGTGAAGCAGCAAAACATCACATGATTCATCAGCTGATCTAACCACACATTAAACAGGATGTAGAAGAAATCTCAAGACAAATGTACCATTTGTTGCCTGCCCTTTTAAAGGCTAAATGTCTAAAATTAACTGCGCTAATGTTTAAAGTGAGAGAAATTTTATTATGTAATCAAAATAACCCAAACCCCACTCAGAGGTCAGAAAAGGGGGCTGTGTGTGTGTGTGTGTGTGTGTGTAGCTTATTATCTGATCTCAAAAGGGAAGAACAGTGGACAGAAGTTCTGAGCTGACTTCCTTCCCAAGAGGGGACGTTGGAACGATCAGCAGCCTCTGCTAAGCAGAGCACCCAAGGTGGGCCTCCTCAGTCATCACATTGTTTTTTAAATCATTCTTTGCCAAGTCCAGGTGATTCCAAAAGATATCTTTCCCTCTGCTTCATGTACAATGAGCCAGGGTACCTAAAAGTCTGCGTCAGATCATGCCAGAGACGTGTATAGATGGCAGTCTGCCACTCGCAGACGGGGCAGGTTTTTACACGACACCTCTTCCTAAGGTTATGAAACTTAAGTGCACTTCGCTAACAAGACTTACCACAGTCCGTGCGTGTACACAGAAACGCACAAGAGCTAGGAACCCTTTCTGTGTCCACAAGTAGAAGTGGTCTCCTTAGGTGGAAGAGAGCTGGAGACAGACCAGCCTGTCTGGCTTCGTGGAAATTCAGCGGCATATGGAGATTGGTTGGCCCCGGAAGATTTAGGGGCAGACATTCTCCAGCTATGCACCGGGGACAAGAAATGGTTGCCTTTGGTGTTGGGAAACATCATGGCCAGGTGGACTCCGGTTCCCTGAAGTGTGGGGCCGTGAACACGGGGGACCCACAATTTGGATGAACCAGCTATCAAGGTGAAGTTCAGACCAGCTTGGTGGAACAAAGGGGGTATAAGGTATCCATCAGCACCAGTCCCCCAGCACCCGCAGCGGGGACCAGTCTCCACAAAGCAGGCAAGTTCCCCCGCGGTGCCGCATCCACGAGGCTCATGGAGGCAAATACACAGCTCCTTGGAACCAAGCTATAGTTGGTTTGCTTGGTGATGGATTGAGAGGACAAATATCTAAAGCTGGGATGACCAAGGAGCTGGTCCTAGCACTTCAGAAATCTTGACAGAGCCACCCAAGAGATTCTGTGCGACATGGACACGCCTGTGCTCAGTCATTTAAGGAGAGCTTAAATGGCTGTGGGTCTACAGCCGTGACCTTCAGATCTCCCACTCATTTCTCGCCACACACTGTCACCTGCACCATGAGAAGCTCAGGCCATTACTGCTAAGGCTCCTTCCGGGGCCAACATTCTGCGTACCATCTAGGATTTAAAACACGCTACAGGATCCTGCGGTGGAAAGATAAAATTACCTCGTTCCTCATCTCAGATCTGAATGTTAGCAGTGTTCCAGAATGTTTTTTTTAACAAAATGAAGTCTACTGGGACTTCACCCTACACGTGCCAATGATGTCCATTGACCAGCTCTTCAGTTTCACATCAAAACTGTGGGTTTCGTGGAAGCCAGTCACGTTAAAACATTTGTGCAGCCTTTGATGGGAATTGACTGCAGAGGTCAATATAAAATACATACAGCACTTCAACAAGTGCTGCGTATGTATTTAATAGATGTAACTTTTGGCATTGTTAAGAGCATTTCTATATGCTTTCCTTTATTGGCTTCTTGGGGAGGTGGAGTTCACACTCATGTATTCTCAAACAGTTTTCACACTCTAATTTTACTTTAAGTAAAGCTTAAAGTTGGCATACGATTGAGATTGCTCTTAGTTTCTTGATTTTCTAAACTCTAACCGTCAGTCTATTTATACATCCCAAATTACACGGTTTCCTAATTCTAACTACATTTCCCTTTTCTGTCAAACATACAGGAGGCATTAAAATTTTGCCTTTGCCTTAGTATATAAAACCTCTAACCACTGGCTTATTTCTCTAAACTCCTTTATTTAAATATGACCTATTGCTTCAAACTGTATTCTATATGAAAATGAATTTTTACTTCCCATCATTGCAGTAATATTGAAAGTACTTCTCCGAGCCTCAGCTTCTCCCCCCAGCTTCTTGAATGGTGATACCCAACTTACACGGGCGTCAGGAAAGTAAGAAGGCCAGAACCCGAAACCCCCTCCTGCCCACATCTAAGAGATTCTTGTTCTGATCAATCGCTGTGTGAAAAGCATTACTCTTCTTTAAAGTGTAATGTCTTAACCTCAAAGAGTGATGGCTCTCATTCTTTGAACCTCCCATGAGAGATTACAGAAAGGGTTTTATTACACACCTGTAGTTAATAGGGTTGGAAGAATCCCACTGCCCTGCCTGAAACTGCATCTCCTTTATTACATGTCTTCGGGTTAAAATCCCCGATGTCATGCCTCGACCA